GACAATTGAACAAGCTTTAAGATGATACCAATAACTCTACATGCCCAAAAATTGACGAGAGCCTGATTCCACCACGCTGCCTCACATATATTTCCTTTTGCACCAATGAATTTTAGACGCCCTCCGGGTTGTATCAGAATATTTACCATTCAGTCATAGTTATATCAGACTGGGGCGGTAACTCAACATTTCATCACAACAACTCAGGGGCTATCAATGATAGGCTATCTAGTATTGCAGGAACAATCCTTGGAGATGTACTTAGGTGATATACTCTGTATTCTTTGTGATCTGTCAGTGTCAAAGGAAAAACAAAATGTGAGGCAGCGAGGAGGAATCAGGCTCTCGTCAATTTTCAGGCATGTAAAGTTATTGGTATCATCTTAAAGTTTGTTCACTTATCTTTATTTGGATGTAAAAAATATCCATTTATCTTGAATACAAGTCGAGATATCTGCAAAAGAAGGAGGTGGGGGTCACCTATTTTCAGAGGTAAAATTAGTGAGAAAATGGCCGCCAAAGATTAGTTATTTCCTTAGTTTAAGAGTCCGTGGTAACTGAAGATTTACATTTTTTATGCCTTTCATCAACGCTTTTCAGAAAAATCCACACAGAAATGAGTTCTTTAATGCTCATGAAAGGTGTACCAAAACACAATAATTTGATAAAAATTCACAAACCTGTGGAAAAATGCAAGTTTCTTCACTTTGATTATTTTGACGAGAGCCTGATTCCACCACGCTGCCTCACAAATATCTTTCTCCTGCTTTTGTATCGTCTGTTGTATTGATATGGTGTTTTTGTCTAAATATTCTGTGCCCCCCCCCAATCTTTTCCTGGGCCTGCTCTCATGAGCAAGGTCAACACAAAACAAGATCCCATCACTCACCTGTTTTGATATCTAACCCAACAGCCTGGTCAGTGCCCAGATATTCCTGCTGCAGTTTGACAATGGCTTCTTGAGGATCAAGGCCTGAGTTCTGCGCTAGCACTTTCACAATGATCAGCAAAGCCTCTGCAAAAGCCTGGACACCTGTCGAGGAAGCAAAATTCCTGTCATTAACTACGGGTATATGATAACCAAACTGTTTCCAACAATCACAAACAAACGGAACAGAAAATGCAATAAGCTTTGAGGGTAAGAAAAAATTATGCCAACACACTTATTGTCAACAGGGGCTTGGAAAAATCCAGGCAACAAAAAGGTGACGGAGCTGTAGTACAAGACAAAATAGCACCATGATAGCAATATGTTCCTTAGGAAAAGACTACAACAAGAGTAACACTGAAAAGAAAAGGATCACACCATATTGGTGTGAACCACAACCACATGCCCCCCATCACCCCCCCCCCCCCCAAAACCAAAACAACAACAACCCCAAACAAACAAAACAAATACAATGATGACCCATAACAATTGTCAATACATCCCACCAGCAGCAGCTAGAAGAAAGAACTTTCCTTGAAGCAAAAAGGGATTCTTACAAACCAAGTATAACAAAATAAACAAACATGCAAAGGCATCAAACACAGAATTTCAGAAAAAACCTACCAAGTCTGGCTCTGCCCTTCACGGTGTCTTTGTACTTCATCAGTTCCTGGTACGCAGCAATTTCAAAAGCTCCAGCCCCAGGTAGAACACAGTCTGAAAACAGATACCATATAGTCTTATCATAGAACTTATTTAGTTTTAGTATGTGTTTTACGGCACTTCCAACACAATAAGGTAAAATGAGGAGAGATAAGGACGATAGACGTTTGATAGGAAAGAAGGAGCAAACCACACCAGAGCACCCACCAACCACCAACTCATAGAACTGAATATATCCATGACTTACAGCAAATGGATGTGGCTCGTTTTAAAAATAATGCACATGACCAACACTAATTCCTGTACTGCCCAACAGAGTTTTCTGCCATATTATTACGTATATAAAATAAATGTATATTGCTTTCACCATTAGAGAATACAAACAATGGTGATGAAGATTGCATCAAAAAGCACAGGGTAAATAAATTCATGTACAGTACTATAAAGAACTCAACTGTGTCTTCCGTCATATTAACACTCACCACAACTGTGCACAGCTCCACTGTAAACAGCCATCTAAAACAGAGACTGGCCTATCTCAAGCTTTTCAAAGGCATATTATGTATATAAACAATGATGATTAGGATTGCATCAGAGAGGTTACCATTCAGTCATATAATTCAGACTGGGGCGGTAAATACAAAACCTCATCATTGCAATACTCGAGAGAGAAAAAAAAAAAAAGAAAGAAAGAAAAAAAACCCCAACCCCACTACTGCCTGCTAAAGAATGCTAAATTCATTTAATCAATTATATCTGAACACTACACAACACAACAATTTGGTGTAGAATGCGTGCAATCTAGATATTTAAATGGAAAAACATTTCAGATGTGCTTACTGTCATCAATAGCATTCTTCACAGCCCTCAGTCCATCTCTCACGGCATCTTTGATCTGGGTGATAGTGTGGGCATTTGGCCCCTTGATGACTATAGTGACAGAGTGGGGTTCTTTGCATTCCTCGATAAATGTGAACTTGTCCTCACCCTGAAAGTCACGAAACAAAAACAAATTAGAAGATAAAAGTCAATCATTTAAAGTCAGAATTGTGTGGATCGGGAAAAAAAAGAAGTCAGAATTGTCCACAACAGCTTCCCGTTGTTGAGTAGAAAAGAGATTGCCTCTCAGTCAGGAGAACTGGGACAGTGTCATCATAATTATAATACAAAGTGGAGAAGAAGAAAAAAAGGGTGAGAAGTAGTCACTTGTACAGGTAAATGCCTAGAACACGTGACTGTTGGAGAAAGTTGGTTTGACTGTACATGTCTCCTTGTTTTAACCAGTTTTAGTAAGGTTTTCCGGCGCTCGCAACTGCATAAGGTCATATGAGCGTCAAGGGGTGGATGTCAACAGAGTAGTCCAAAAGAGAAATCAGGCTTACTCAGCTCATCTCTCTCGCCTCAACAGCACAATGAGTGACAATGACTGTACATGGCAGAGAAAAATTGAAATTATACAAACAAAGCAACTAAACCCAGTGCCCAGTATCTGAGAAAGGGGTATCACAAATATCTCTGCAACATCACTCTTTTCGCGAGCAGGCAATGTTTGCATCAGAACTGTTACCATTCAGTCATCTGATAATTCAGACTGGGGCGGTATTCATCAATTCATCATAGCAAAAATCAACAAGACTGACAGTGTCACACAGAGCCCCCCCGGCACTCTCATTAAACAAGCGTGAAATTTTCGTCTCCTTTGAAATGTAACACGAAGAGTAAAGGAGAAAAGACAGTTCATGAAGAGTGAAATGTCAGCTTGAAACAAAAAGAAAAGCCAGAACGTTTAAGTAAAACACCAAAACTGACAGTTCGGACCATTTAGGAGGACAGTTGCTTAGCCTACGCCAGCCCCAATCCAGGCTGAGAGAGGAAATGGCATCCAAACAGTACTGAGGATAAATACTGTACAAAAATAAGACTTCCCACACAAAAATTTAACTCAAAACATCAACATACAATGGTAAAGAGCCAATTTTTGTTTTGTTTTGTTTTAGTAGAAGTTTTACGGCGCTCGCAACTGCATAAGGTCATATGAGCCAATTTTTTTAATGAAATGACCAAACTAACCAAATGAGATACCCGAAAAAATAGAATGTGAAAAGACTGTGACACCACACTTTCTTCCCAAGTAGATGACATTTGCATCAGAATCATTACCATTCAGTCATGTAATTAATCAGACTGGGGCGGTATTCATCAATTCATCATTGCAATAATTCATAAAATTGGGGGGGGGGGGATATGAAAGTCGTCCCTTAAACACTTGAATAAATGTGGATTTGTTGCCACGCCCTCAAGTCACAAACCAAAGAAATGCAGGTCAGAGATATGTGAAACTGCAACTTTAAACAAAAATAAAAACCAGAGTCTTATTCTTTTATTTTATGCATCATAGCTGTCTGAATCATACGAGAGGTATGAAGAGTTAGGAAACAGCAATTCAAGTAGAAAGACGGGAGATACCTTATATAAAAGAATTCTACCAAGCTAGACTTGAATTCACACAATTTGCATGCAATGATAAAAAACCTAAAACTTTGATGAAATAACCAAAGCAACCAATTCAGCTAGCTGAGAGAGGGACGTCTCAAATCTGTGACACCACACTTTCCTTAAGTAGACAATGTTTGCATCAGAACTGTTACCATTCAGTCATCTGATAAATCAGACTGGGGCGGTATTCATAAATTCATCATTGCAATGATTGATGAAAGTGAAAAATAGACAGTGCGCTGTAACATTATGATTTCACATATGCAACACAGAAATCCATTGAACTTTTCAACAAGAGCGAACTTGTAACTGAGCACTTATGGACCTGTCCAGTGTGCAATGACATTGTTTCCCAGGACAGGTAAATACAGGTAAATACAACAACATTACTCTTTTCCAGAGTCTGCAAAGTTTTGCATCAGAACTGTTACCATTCAGTCATCTGATAAGTCAGACTGGGGCGGTATTCATCAATTCATCACTGCAATGATTCATTAAATAGAAAACAAGTAACACAGAGAGTCCCTTACAATCACAAATAGATAAGGATTGGTCGTCACACCGGACAGTCACAAACCTAAGACGAAAGAAAAAAAAGTAGTTGTGAAATGAGTGAGATTGCAGCTCCACACAAAATTTTTAACTAGTGTGTACATATTGCGAGATAGATGGATAGAACGAGGTGGCCTGAGTGAGGAAACAGCATCTCAGAAGAAAGACGATAATACTCCAGGAAAATATAAAAAAACCTTCACCATGCAGGAGTTAAATTCACACCTTTGGCACACAATGGCAAAAACCCCGAAAGTTTGATAAAATGACCAAATAAGGCAAACAACTACCTGAGAACACGATATCACAAACCTTTGTGACACAAACTTTCTCCAAGAAGACAATGTATGCATCAGAACTGTTACCATTCAGTCATCTGATTAGTCAGACTGGGGCGGTATTCATTAATTCATCACTGCAATGATTCATAAAATTAATTACAAAAAATAGAAAACAGAGGGTCCCTAGCAATCACAAAAAAAATGTGGACAGTCACAAACCAAAGAAGGAAGAACAAAAAGTAGTTCTGAGCTGAGTAAGATTGCAGCTCCACACAAAAATGAAAACTAGAGCGTTCATGTTTTTTGCAACATGGATAGTTTGAATCATTTATTTAGGAGGCCTTGGTGAGAAAACAGCATCCCAGAAAAAAAGACGGAGATACTCCATTTTAAAAAACTTCACCAAGCAGGAATTGAACCCACACCTTTTGCACGCCATGGCAAAGACCCCAGGAGTTTGATAAAATGACAAAATACAACAAACAAATCAACTTCCCGAATGAGATATTACAAGTCTCTGCGACAAAAACTTTCTCCAGGAAGACAATGTTTGCATCAGAATCGTTACCATTCAGTCATCTGATAAATCAGACTGGGGCGGTATTCATTAATTCATCATTGCAACGATTGATAAAATAGAAAAATATATACAGTGATCGTAACTTTACAATTTCACAAAAACAACACAGAAATCCACTGAACTTTTCTACAGAAGTGAATTTGTAGAACCTCCTTAAACTCAGAAAGAACAAAGGCAGAATATTGGCGTGTTGTATTAAAGCTTGAATAAAAAATAAAAATCTGAAAGATACTAAACATTATATTGTGCTCCCTTCTACATAATTTACATCTTTTTGCCAAATCAGCTCACGGAGAAAACAGATCCCAGAAGGACAGAGATACTTGAAAATAACAGCCATCACTAGGCAGGAAACAAACTCATGTCTTTTGTGTGCAATAGCAAAGAGCCCTACATAATGCGGTTACCAAACAGAGCAACCAAATCCACTGTACCAGAACTAGACTTCATAAGATCACAACAACATTACTGTTTTCCAGAGTCTGCATCAGAACTGTTACCATTCAGTCATCTGATAAGTCAGACTGGGGCGGTATTCATTAATTCATCACTGCAATGATTCATAAAATTAATTACAATAAATAGAAAACAGAGGGTCCCTAGCAATCACAAAAAAAATGTGGACAGTCACAAACCAAAGAAGGAAGAACAAAAAGTAGTTCTGAGCTGAGTAAGATTGCAGCTCCACACAAAAATGAAAACTAGAGCGTTCATGTTTTTTGCAACTTGGATAGTTTGAATCATTTATTTAGGAGGCCTTGGTGAGAAAACAGCATCCCAGAAAAAAAGACGGAGATACTCCATTTTAAAAAACCTCACCAAGCAGGAATTGAACCCACACCTTTTGCACGCCATGGCAAAGACCCTAGGAGTTTGATAAAATGACCAAATACAACAAACAAATCAACTTCCCGAATGAGATATTACAAGACTCTGCGACAGTAACTTTCTTCGCATCAGAACTGTTACCATTCAGTCATCTGATAAATCAGACTGGGGCGGTATTCATTAATTCATCATTGCAACGATTGATAAAATAGAAAAATATATACAGTGATCGTAACTTTACAATTTCACAAAAACAACACAGAAATCCACTGAACTTTTCTACAGAAGTGAATTTGTAGTACCTCCTTAAACTCAGAAAGAACAAAGGCAGAATATTGGCGTGTTGTATTAAAGCTTGAATAAAAAATAAAAATCTGAAAGATACTAAACATTATATTGTGCTCCCTTCTACACAATTTACATCTTTTTGCCAAATCAGCTCACGGAGAAAACAGGATCCCAGAAGGACAGAGACACTTGAAAATAACAGACATCACTAGGCAGGAAACAAACTCATGTCTTTTGTGTGCAACAGCAAAGAGCCCTACATAATGCAGTTACCAAACAGAGCAAACAAATCCACTGTACCAGAACTAGACTTCATAAGATCACAATAACATTACTCTTTTCCAGAGTCTGAAAAATTTGCATCAGAACTGTTACCATTCAGTCATCTGATAAGTCAGACTGGGGCGGTATTCATTGATTCATCACTGCAATGATTCATAAAATAGAAAAAATAGAAAACAGAGGGTCCTTTGCAGTCACAAAAAAATGTGGATCGGTTGTCACAGTCACAAACCCAAGAAGGAAGAACAAAAAGTAGTTCTGAGCTGAGTAAGATTGCAGCTCCACACAAAAATGAAAACTAGAGTGTTCATGTGTGTTTTGCAACTTGGATAGTTTGAATCATTTATTTAGGAGAACTTAGTGAGAAAACAGCATCCCAGATAAAAACCCTGGAGATACTCATAAGATCACAACAACATTACTGTTTTCCAGAGTCTGAAAAGTTTGCATCAGAACTGTTACCATTCAGTCATCAGATAAGTCAGACTGGGGCGGTATTCATTAATTCATCACTGCAATGATTCATTAAATAGAAAAAATGTAATACAGGGGGTCCCTTGCACTCACAAATAAATATGGACTGGTTGTCACACCGGACAGTCACAAACAAAAGACGAATGGAGAAAAGTAGTTTTGAGCTGAATGACATTGCAGCTCCATACAAAAATTTAAACTAAAGTGTTCATGTTTTATGCAACATGGTTAGTCTGAATCATTTAAGAGGTGGCCTGAGTGACGAAACAGCATCCCCCAGGAGGACAAAGAAATGCTATTTTAAAAACTTCACTATGCAGAAATTGAACTTGGACCTTTAGCATGCATTGGCAAAGACTAAAACCCAAAAGTTTGATAAAATGACCAAATAAAGCAAACAAATCAACAACTGAAAAAAGGTATATCACAAGTCTCTGTGACAGACTGTCCCCAGGAAGACAACATTTGCATCAGAACTGTTACCATTCAGTCATCTGGTAGATCAGACTGGGGCGGTATTCATTAATTCATCATTGCAACAATTAATAAAACTGAAAAATGGATAGCTCATCAAACAGGATTCCATAAACGTGACACAGAAATTCATTGCACTATTCAACAAAAGCGAATTTGTCGTCACTCCTGAAACTCAGAAAGAGAAAAGGCCATATATTGCTCTGTGGTATTCAAACTCTACAACAGAAAAGAGCCAAGTCACTGCAACATCACTCTTTTCCCAGAGTTCACAATGTGTGCATCAGAACTGTTACCATTCAGTCATCTAATAAATCAGACTGGGGCGGTATTCATTGATTCATCATTGCAATGGTTCATAAAATGGAAAAAATGCAACACAGAGGGTCCCTTGCACGCTCAAATGAATGTGAATTTGTTGCTACGCCCAGAATCATTACTGTTCAGCATGCAGCAACCAACCTCACAACTCCAGCAGGGAACAGCGGAGAGCTTAAGAAAATGATGAAATGATCAAAGAGAGCAATTAACCAGCTACAAGAAAACAGGACATCAAAAGTCTTTGCAACTCCACACTTTTCCTGTGTGGGCAATGTCTGCATCAGAATCATTACCACTCAGTCATCTATAAATCAGACTGGGGCGGTATTCATTAATTCATCATTGCAACTTGTTCATACAACTAAAAATACTGCATTTCCAAAAGTGTGATACAAAGGTTCTTTGCATTCGTCAACAAATGTGAATTTGTCATCACTCCAGAAACCCACACAACAAAAAAGAAAATAGAAAAGACAATACGATATTAAATCTGTGAACAAAAATCAGACCCTGATGGTAAATGGTAAATATTGTAAGCTCCCATCTACACAATCTATGATTTAGGCCAAAGCAGCTAAATGGGAAACAACCCAGAAGAACTATAGAGATGCTTGAGAATAACAGACCTCCTGAGGCAAGATTTTATGTCACATCTTTAGTGAGCAGCAGCAAGGAGCCTAACACAATGAGGAAATTACCAAACAACGCAATCAGACCCATTAACTGAGAATAGGACATCATCATAAGTCACAGCAACATCACTCTTTTTCAAGTAGCCAAACAACATTACTTTTTTCCAGAGTCTGAAAAGTTTGCATCAGAACTGTTACCATTCAGTCATCTGATAAATCAGACTGGGGCGGTATTCATAAATTCATCATAGCAAAGACATACAATTTTTAAAAATATTTTTTAAATCTAACACTTTAATTGTAAAAGTTGCATCCTAAAAAAAATGTGACTTTCTTTCACACTCCTGGAGGTTGCACAAAAAAGGAGAAATGAGAAAAGGCACGGGCCAGTGCATATGACATCACAGTTCTCAAAAGTCAAATCCTCAAGTTCAAACAAAAAGCCTTGTAGAATAATTGTTCGAACTTCTTCCAGGTGTGAGTAGTTCTAGGAAGCTGAACAGAAAAAGAAAAAGAACAGAGGGGGAAACAAAAAACTCTAAAACCAATCTTAGAGGTGATCCACTGAGCGCTTGATTTGCATTTGCTGCATCAGATCAACAAATTGCTGAACTCAAAACGCCTATAAAAACATGCTTGGAACATTCTGCATTTCAGAATCTAGTATTCATTTTCTTCTTCAAGAAAACAAGCAAAGCCAATGAGGCATGGGTGTAAAGATGGTGAACAGGAACAGATCTCCGAGCGTCCAGTTAAAAATATTTTTCCATGTAGCTTTTATCAGTTAAAACAAGTAAACTTTTTATCAGAAAACTGTATGATTGACCGCAACCTCATTCAAAAACTAAAGCAACAACGGTCTCCCTGAAGGCGAGAATTGGCATCAGAAATATTACCATTCAGTCATTTGATCAATCAGACTGGGGCGGTATACAGAAACTCATCACTGCAACAATTCTTAAACTAGAGAAATGCGTTTTACAAAAATTTCCAGTATCATCATACGACTAATAGTTGAACCAATAATTCATCGTTAACCTGAAGGGCATCTATGCCGTTGTCTCCATTAAAGATTGCACGGCTCTACGATCATCCTGCCTCCTATGAATTGTGTGCTAACAGGCGTAAATTTTTTTTCTCCAATTTTTAAAATTCAAGTACATAAATATGAGTTGTGTGTTCTCTAACACACGCTTGTGAGCTGGTGCAGAAAGCACAATTTAAAATCATTAAGACTACAAAAGAAAAGTTTTTTGACATGACAAAATTTCCAGTACAGTGCATCAACCTACAGAGACTAGACTGCTTCTCAAGACTTTATCAAAGAACACAAAGTCTGCATCAGAATCGTTACCATTCAGTCATCCGATTATCAGACTGGGGCGGTATTCATCAATTCATCATTGCAAATTCTGGAAAAAACAATCTTTCTTACACATCGTTTATTTTAAAAAATATTTCTTTAAAAAACCTCCCAAAAAACAAAATGAGTTGAATAGGAGCATTTTTTCGGTCACAGTACTTTCAAGTTGTTTACATTGTTATCGCTTGTTCTCTGCAGGTCTTGTCAATGGATGAAGCCATCTCTTCATTTCTCTTTCTAGTGATGTACACTTTTTCCTATCTTTCATGTAGAGCTGATCAGACATTGATCTTCAGAGCCCGCACAGGAAACTTACACACTAACAAGCACATAAACAGAATCAACCCCATGTGGGAACCCCATTGCAGACCCTGTGACTACCACGAGGAGACCGTTGTACATCTTCTCCTTCACTGCCCAAACTTGGCAGTTCTTCGACGCAAGCTCCTACACACACATACAGACTTACAAAGCCTGCTCTACTCTGGCGTTGACCAGATGACAAGGACATGTGGTTACTTGAGGGAGGCATTGCGCTGCCAAGAGTGAAATGCTCGCAACTAAAGGGATTTGAACAACAACAACTTATCTTTCATAAGTAGACTATTGTCAATAACAGACTGAGACCTATGACATCCTGTGTGAAATTTTTCTTGGTTTGAGATGTGCACGTACTTTAATTTTAGTAAGAGTTTTATGGCACCTGCAACAAATGATGCCATATACATTCCAAAGGTTATAGGTGTTACTAGAGAGTAACATACAAAAAGAAGGAAGAGAGATAAAGATGATGGATGTTTGACAGAAAAGAAGGAGCAAACCACAAACCAGAGCACCCACCAACCACACAACATGAAATATTCTGTTGTTCCGGTGAGGCAAACAAAAATTGCATACTGGTAACCTATAACTTGCACGCTGAATCCTGAGAGATAGAATACTGCTTTATTCTCATGTTTCACATCACTCTTTCTCTCGACTGACTACGTCTGCATCAGAATTGTTACCATTCAGTCACCAAACAAGTCAGACTGGGGCGGTATACTAAAATTCATCATTGCAACTTTTGCAATGAGAGTATCAAAAACACAGCGCACTGCAAAAACAAGACCATTTGAAACCACTGCAACTTTCAAGGATATACAGGCAACACACACACACAGCAAAGATAGGGTGTATCTAACCACAATACTATCAAACCAACAGTTGTCATAAAAAAAAGATGTAACACACATTGGGCATTCCTATACAGAAAATGCAATTAAAAAAAAAAGGGGGGGACCCATTTTTATTATCATCAAGGGCGGCTAATACTTACCAAGACTTGTTCATAAGAATGACCAGCCCAGCCCAAGTATTCTGGTACGAGATCATCCACAGAATTGACGGCCATGCCACCACAAGCCAGTACAATTCTGTGAAGAAACACAAAACAGCAAAGGGTAAAATATGATTCCCATTACCTTCATATTTGCATTAATGAGGTTTCAATCCATCTTACGTTACCATATTTTCTTAGCTTTAATTTATATGAGCTAGATCAAAGAGAAGTACATTAGCATGAAAACGATGATTAAGTGCAGAAGAAATCATAAACATATATTGAAAAAAAAAATTTACCTGACAAAAAATGTTAATGAGTGCATCAGAGTCATTACCATTCAGTCATATCAAAGTCAGACTGGGGCGGTATGCATAAGTCATCATCACAGTCATATGTTTTTCGTTTTAGTAGAGGTTTTACGGCACTCGCAACTGCATAAGGTCATATGAGTGCCAAGGGGTGGATGTCAAAAGAGAAGTCCTTACAGGGAATCAGACTTACTCTGCTCATCTTTCTAGCTTCAACAGCACAAAGTCTGCTTCGACTATCAAGGCACCCCAGAAATAGTGCGTCACAAGAGTGTGACAAACATACAAAGAAGTAGAGGAAAAAATGACGATAGTAAGGATGAGAAAAGAAAAAGCAGCAGTTCCCTGTTGCAGTTCAGGCACAGTGATGAGCATGACATCGATGAATCAGCCCATTTACAATTCTACTGTGCATAAGAATACGTTAATGTCCCCCCCCCCCCCCTTTGGGAAAGGCCTAAAGACACTTCAATCAGTAGCACAGCCCCCAGGGAAAGTCATATGTTTTAGTAAGATTCTAAAGCACTTGCAACACAATAAGGTCATACAAGTCCAGAAGATTAGACGTGTTAGAAGACAGTAACAAACACAAAAAAGGAGAGAAGGACAATAAATATTTAATGAGAAAGAAGTAGCAGACTACAACACAGCACCCACAAACCATCCACACAGTTGTATACGTAAAAATATTTCACTGTCCCAACAGAATTAGGAACCTCACCTTTCCATGTTCCTGCGCTTGGCCCGCCTTAGTGCAACAATTCCCTCCTTAGCCAGCATGTCCAGAGACATTGGGTCGATGCCCTGATGTCAACACAAAGAGAAGAAAAAAGAAAAACATATATTTTCTGCTAAGAATACATGATACCTTCCTAGGCTCTTTTACTTTTAGTAAGGTTTTACAGTACTCGCAACTGTTTTAGGTTATAGGAGCACCAAGGGGTGGATGTCAACAGAGAATTCCAAATGGGGAATCAGGCTTACTACAGCACAATGTCTGCTTCATAGGCTCTAATCATGTCAATATTCAATGCAGCTAATTACAGAGACAGATGCCTTTCTCCGCACTGTAACGCACAAGATCTATTTATGCTTCACGCATTTAATTTACTTAACATTTCACTAAAAGTTTTGTAGAAAGCCAATTACAACACGGTCCCCCAGCAACTGTGAACCAGTTTAGTTTAGTTTTAGTTTTAGTAGAGGTTTTACGGCACTCGCAACTGCATAAGGTCATATGAGCGCCAGAAGATTAGAGGTGTTACAAGAGAGTAACAAACATAAAAAAGAACAAGGGGAGATAAGGACGATAGATGTTTGATAGGAAAGAAGAACCAAACCACACCAGAGCACCCGCCAACCACCCACGTGAACCAGTTTACAATAAAGTTGTTGTTATCGATCCAGCAACAGCTGGGCTCTTGCCCTTCTGTTCAATGCCATGTAGTGATAAGTGCAGGTTTGCTGCAGTTGCTGTAATATTCCGTAGAGTGTGTTGTCAATGTTAGGACTCAGAGGGAGAAGAGTAGCTCTGATGTCATTTTGGGCTGTACTGTGGAACAGGTGATGATCCACATTCTCATATGCATAGTCACACAAAGGACACATCGGGGGAACCTCCTGATTTTATTCTGTTCAAGTGAAAGTTGAGCTGTATATGTTCTGTTCGTAGGCGGAAGATCGGGGTCTCTTTCTTTCTCTGTAGGTGGTTGATATTGTCATTTTGGTTTGTTGTGGTCATAAGTATGAAAACTGGTCTGCCTGTCTTTCCCAAGGCCCATCTGTTCATCCAATCTTGTTTGCTGTTGCTTTTAATGATTTGTTTTGCAGCGTTGTATGAGATTGGAGTGTTCGGCTGTTCCTGTCTAGATCCCCATTTGGCGAGTGTGTCTGCTGTTATTTCCAGGTATGTTTGAGTGTCCGGGAATCCACTGCATCACCAGGTTGGCGCCACATGACGTTATCAGGTGATGGGACCCAAACAGTATATGTGTCAAGTCTTCATTTAGATGATGGTCATTTTCTATCCCTAGCAATAAAAAAAAGTTAAAATTATGAGAGGACCCCCCCCCAATAATAAGTATGCAAAACTTTCGGTGATACCTTCTGGTTGATGATGAGGAAATTCTTGTCAGTACCATCACAGACTTTCTTCTTCAGCTCAATGATGCGCTTGACCCGCTCATTGATGAACTCGCGCTCAGCAGCCACCAGCTTCTCACGTTCTTGGGCACTCTTGTAGAAGAAGCCAGAGTTCACCTCCCTAAAAAAACCACACATGATAATATTTATTAGTTTGTGAGAAATATTCGCTGAGTATTCACTTACTTTACTTCTCAACAGACAATCCCCACAGACTGAACAAGTAGAAAAAAAAATCTCATCAGTCCACGACAATTCAAAGTTCAACCGTCTAGTAAAAGTAAATAATCATCTATTCTATTAGTTGCACTGCATGACCCTAAAATCAGGGACATCATCAGATATAAATGGCTGAAACCTACCCCCCCCCCCTCAAAAATAAATAAAAAGATGAAAAAACAAGAGCAAATAAAACAAATAAAAAAATTAAAGGAAATAATGATCCAAGTTTTCATGCACTGTCAGAGGAGTTCATTCACAAAATGCTGATTAACTTGAAGTTGAACTTAGTCAAAGATGTTTTAAATTGCACTTGCACATGCCCAGTAATCTAGTTGCATATATCATGACAACACATCATTTTCAGACAAATAATAATGAAAACAACCATATTACTTTTAACTTATTCATATCAATGATCAAGTCCGAACTGTTTTTGAATTGTCATTTTCCTAAATTGAGATCACAATCTTCAAAATGAGGAATAACATGACTGCTTTCTCAGCGTGTGGAGAGCTATATGCCCATCACAAAGAGGGCATTTTAGGGCAAAAAATTGCGGGGAGGAATTTTCACTAAAAAGGAAGGGGGTGTCATCTTTGAGGGTGTTATTGAACATATGCTGCTACTGACAGGGACAAATGACCATTTTGGGAAAATAGACGTTTCAAAGTACCCGAATTCGTTAACAGCTCAATTTCGATCTATGATTAAAAAATGGCGTCATTTGACCATGGCCTCACCCCGCATCATGCCTTAAGTGTAGACTTGTCTTTTTGAATTCCTATGAAACACTTACGTCTTTTCGTACTCCAAGGAAACATTGCAGGTCAGGATGAAAGTATCATGAATGTTCTTTTTCATATCAGGGTGACGGGCTCCATGATCCATTACCATACCTCTAACCAGACTGAAAAAGAAATCAAGTAAGTATAACTATACACTGAAGTACCATATGTAGAGAGAGGAAAGAATTAAGCTTACACATAACTTGCATTAAACAGACGTTAGGGGAAAGTAAAAAAAATTAGGGCAAGGAAACTCAAGGAATCACCTAGTTCACGGACCACATCAATGTTCGAGATTACATTTTCAGAAGAATGTCTAAAATGATAATATGAAATGAGCACAGAGTATTACCCTAAAACAATGATATATCTGCATTAATTATGACACTGCAGGACCTAAGTTTAACCACCCTGCCACTAAAAACACATGTTCACTGGTGCTTCTATCAGATCAGTACAAGGAAGTGTTATAAATGAGTGTACAGCACTATGACCTGAAAAGACAATAGTCCCATGAAATTAAATATTTTTGTGTAGTGGAACATAAAACTTAAGCAAAAAAAAAAACGTCAGAGAGACTCCATTCAGCAAGAGATGGGTAAAATCTTACACAGTGTCCAAGTCTGTCTTATGTCTCATCTCTATGGTCTCCACCATATGCAGATCTATTGATCCATTTGGCTGCTTGATGGAAAGAACAGCATCCACCACATGCTGTGAAAAGACATCAAAGGAACAGTAACATTAGGATCCTCGGGTGATTATAACTTAAGTGGTTGAAAAGTTTTGACACCTTCATCAACCTCCTGCATCAATATATTTGCCCACACATCCACCCGACTTACTTTATATTCTTTCGTAAAAGAAGTTTTAAAAAGTATACCGTATTAATTACCCTTTTTAACACGGCAATCCATTTTCCCCAAGATGCCTTTGCCTTTGATGGCAAGGGTTTTTTCTATATGAGCCTTGTGATGGCAAAGTGTTAAGGCAGTTACTTCACTATTTTGCTTGAACTCTTGACCACGCATCAAAACAAAACCTTTCCCACTCTTATCCGACCATATCCATAATTTTTACCCAAAAAAATAAAGCAGTTTAGGAACACCCCTCCCCCAAGCATTTCAGCATAACAGAATGTACTTTCACACAAAAGAACTCACACTCCACCCAGACAGGATGATTTACAAGCACGCTTCAACTCACAAATAAAAAAAAAAAAAATACACCAAAAAAAACCCTCTTTCATTTTCAGTCACCTCAGTGAGAAGGTCAGCCAGCTCTTGATAAACCTTGGTCCTGAGGGATGTTCTGGCCACTTGCATCAAAGTGTCCCGGTCCACCTCTCTCTTCACCTTCACTTGGTCCAGAACCTCCAGAGCCTTGTCTCTGGCTAGGGTGAAGCCTTCAGTGATCAGTCGTGGGTGAAGACCCTGCACAGAGAAACCGTTTGTTCTTTACAGGAAACCATTGAGACATACAAAATGCTATTCTTCTGTTGCTTTTTTCCCACATTTCATTAACATTTCACCAGTAGAGATTTGTTTTCAAGGAAATGAGACTTGACTAAAACCAACCAACGAAAGTCCAAACTTCCCTTATTTTAACCACATTGTAGCACGATTCCCCTTCCCTCAGAGCTTACAATGACATAACCTGTCGTCCTATGCACACAGCAGCCTCTCACATAATTAGCAAGATGACCACGTCGTGACTCCCAAGTTCAAGCAACAATTCAAATAAGCAAAAGCTCACCAACTAAGGATAAAACAGCAACTGTTGAACCATAAGCACAAGTACTTTTCCCGCACTCAGTCAAGAGATAAGTTTTATATTTATGCAAACCAGTAGACACAAACAAGCATTTGAAAATCATATGTGTAGATAAAACTAACTTGTCAGTGGGCATCGGAATGGCAGATGAGGTCTGGAGGAAACTAAAAAAGGCGGAAAATTGGAAGCACTGAATATAAATAACAAAAACCTGACAAGAGTATATTTCAAGAAAAAATGAAGTACATAAATTTACCTCAGCAATGTACAGATCTGCTTGTTTGAGAAGTTCTCCAATAATGAGCACATTGGAAGTAGTTCCATCACCAGTCACATCATCTTGAGCAGTCGCAACACGAGCAATCAAGGAAGCAGTTGGGTGTTGAATTTGCTAGGAAAGAATATAAGTCTCTAATAATAAATGGAAACAAAAGAAATTTGCTATTTTGATAAAACTCCCTTTCCTAAGTCTCCAATCTTTAGCTTTGAGTTCAAACAGTAAAATTATTTCTACACGAAAATGTGACACAAATTTCAATGAGGATGACAAGGGTTTTAAATCATAAAATGACACTTACTAATAATAACAAATCGTCATATAGCGATGACGATGAAAAATTAAGTTCTCATCCAAATTGCTTTAAAACAAGCTTAAATGAAAGAAGAGTTCAAACTCTAAGAACTGTGGTTTCCAAATGTCTCAAACTTTTGCTGGAGGATTTTTATAGAGAAAAATATGGCCAAAAACTGAGACTTTTCTTGGTGTATTTTGAGGGACAACTGTACATAAATCAGTAATGAATTGGGAGTATATATATGAATGAAACTTTGGTATCTTCATGTGAAAGGCTAAAACAGCACCTGGACATGGATGGCTGGTGCCTCTATAAATAGATCATTGATGGCCAAGGTATCTTCTTGTGATTTTTAGTGCAGAATCTAGTTCTGCCATCACTTTTCAATGTCTTTATTACTTTGCATCTTTAAGACTAATATTTGCGTGAATATTAGTAGAACTGCTCAACATCGCTTTAACTGCTACCACCAAGGGGCACAGGCTTATGAGGCATTACAATACTTTTAAAGTTTTCAACACATCTTTGTTTAATTAAAAACTGCAGTGGTTTGATTCTGAACAAATGGGCAGATTATATTAGTGGAATTTACTCCACCTATCACAGAAACTATATATAACTTTGATCTTAAAGAATCAGTGCTGTTCTCCAATCACACCTTCTACAACATAAAAAAGTGGTTTTGGGAAATCCTGCAATGGACTCTGGTGACCAAATTTGATTTAAGCAGCCAGGCCAATTACATGCCGTCTGGCGATCATGCGCCTTTTGCAAGCGGACAGGCTAGCTTGTTCACTTTGAGACCCAGTTTCCAGATCTAGTCTTTAATGGCTCACTAGATGGGTGGTAATTTTAATTTTAAGTTGGTACTACCCACAAGGATCTGAAATTTTACAGCAAGGGGCGCCTGTTCGATCGATACCCATGCAGCAGCTCCTCTTAGTTTAAAAAAAAAAGTGAGACATTCGCACAAACACGAAAATGTCTACGATTCTAGAAATCTGTCAGCATGGGACGCTCACATTATGTAAGTTTGACCATTACTCTCGCAGGTTTTCCCGTAACTATACTAAGAAGAGAGCTACCTATGATCCTGATCAGCCGCAAAAATTACGCCTTCAGTGGAGCCCGATTTCCGGCCAGTAGCGCAGGGGCTGACTGAAATGGCATTGCTACATCATATTTCATTGCCAGTTTCAGAATTAAACTTACCATCTCATGAAGCAAGACATTTCCATCCTTTGTCAATTTGATGTCTCCTGAACCAGAAACAAGCCTGAAAGCAAAGCAATCATAAACTTAAAATGAAAGCAAACAAATTATAATGGGGGTGTCACTGTGGCAGACGAAAGGAAAGGCAAAATTAGGGGGATCCATGTCTTCATCTTTTGACAAATTTTAAGCTAATTCTAAGCTCTTTATTCATTATCTCTTTCCATGGCACTCGCTGTGTTGCCGTTAACTTAATTCTTTTAAAATAATTGTTTTATGTAAAACAAACCATAAAAAAAAGGGAGGGGGAATGATATTTGTAAACTTCCAGTACCCTCCCCCTCCATACAATACGTATGAGTCCGAATCGCATGATGTGATGTTGTTATATATACAGTTGAACCTGTGTAAGGTGGAATCGCAAGGGAGCCAGAAAAAAATTCCGTCTTCGACAGGGGAATTTAGTGGGTACTTGTTTGGATCTTCGGCAAAACACACGGAAATATCCCATTTATTCTGGAAAGAAGCCGCCCGACTGTACCCCCCTAATTCCGGTCGACAGCGGAGTGTCCAGATCGAGAGTTCAGAAAGCGGGTGTTCCGAGGAAGAGGGAGAGGAAGAACCTAAACATTAACCATGAGTTTAAAAAATCTGGGGGGGAGGGTTCAGGGGGGGCTTGAGATTGTACTTTACCAGACCACCGGTCGGAACTACTTTCGCTATGGCGCCCCCGGTGCCAAGTAGCCCGCTACTCTTCCTTACCGAGCTCCTCTAGTCACTCTCCTACTCAGCTTTCTGCGTCCTCATCCTTCCACAACCAACAACCGACTGACCTCTTACCGGGTTTTTCAGTCATCACGACCGTGCCACCATGCCCTTTGACCCACGACCATGACACCTTGACTTTTTGTTTTTGTTTGTTTTTGTAAAGTGTTTTACGGCGCTCGCAACTGCATAGGTCATATGAGCGCGCGGGACACACCTAATATTTTCAGTTGGTAGGAAATTTTGAATTTTGCCCGGGTGGCGGCTGAAGCCTACTCTTATCGATTTTAGACCACCAAGGGATCTTTAACGTGCGCAACTTGCACACGGGCCCTCCGAGATTTTTCGCCCTTGTCCGAGAAGGCTAGGTGTAGATCTTTCCCACCAGAAGATCAGGGGTGTGGCAGAAAGACAGCAGTAAAGAGGAGCCAAGGAGTAGCAGTAGAAAGGCTGCAGAAAGAGTCAGGAGCCCAGAGGAGGGGCAAAGGGGGTGCGGGGGTGGGGGCAGAAAGTGGAATTGAAAGCAGACAACAGAACATTGCTAGAGAGCAGGAAAGGAGGTGAAAGGAGACAATTTTAGAGAAGAAAATATTTCGGTCGCTACCCGGATTCGAACCCGGGACCTTTGAATGAGAGGCCAACACCTTAACCTCTAGGCCACGAGAGCCCCCATCCTTGACTTTGTGGCTAATTGGTCAATCTAATCACGTGGTCTACTATTCTTATTTGCTCGCGACTCTGCTACTACTGCTAGGCTAGGCCTACTCCTGGTCCGGCAAAGTACAATGGAGGGCAAGAGATGCACACAAGAGCTCATTTGCATTTATTTGCAACGCGCACCGGGTGAGAATAGCCAAAAGACTCGCCTGCACTATTCTCACCCGAGGTGAGAAATATTAAAATTTGCTTCCAATTTCTTTTCTTTTTTTGACCTCTAGTGTTGCGTCCAGCCCTCCCCCCATCCCCGAGTGTATCTTTTTTTTCTTTTTTTTTTTAAATTAAAAAAAAATAAAAAATATTTAAAAAATCAATAATCTCCCCCCATTCCGGAGTCCTGTACTTCACAGCGCTCAGAGCGCGCGCAGGTTCATTGACTGGTCACAATGACGAGCCCGACAAGACGCTTGTATAACTTTCTTTTCTTTTTTTTGCCCCCACAAGCGACAGCACAGTGACGAACATTATTTTCATGGCGACACGTTTGTAATGCAGAACCTGCATGTTACAAATGTTGTGTTTTTAGACTTTTACAGACAAATTTCTGAGATCTTGATTTTCCGGTGGAGTCTCGGTGTCACATACAATTCCGCTTGCCGCCATAGCCGCCTGTTCGCATGGAACGTACTCTCAGACTGGGAAAAGCCGAATTAATATCACAATCGCAACCAGCAAAAATGACCTTAAAGACGTTATCGGATTTGGTTTTCAATTAATATTCGAGATCTTTTATGTAGACTCTAGGATATTATCCCGTGTCTCGAGGATTTTTTTCAAATTTCCGGGCAATTCCCGAGGCCTGGCAGTCACTCTGCTTCCAGCAACTCTTTCTGATTGACCTGCTGTGGCGGTAGCAGAGTTTAGCGGAGGAAATGGCGGTAGCGAAAGTCTGCTAAATAGCGGAATATTGAGACCCATGCACATCAAGCTCACCTCGCCTCACCGCTGGTTTGCCCTGTGCGCGAAGTCGCCCACAGAACTACCTTTTGTCCCCATGTAGAGAACTATGAGGAGAGCGTAGTAGTAATCAAAGGCCAAGATGGGTGGTCCGGTAAAGTACAATCCAGCCCCCCCCCCCCCCATGTTTTTGCCCATTATTTATTGTTTTCCTCGTAAACCACTGATTTGCTGCAATTTTCATGGCCATATTCGTTTTCAGCACCCCCAAAAACGTTAGTCAGGTCACCAAAAATAGTGCTTTAACGTGTGGGTGCATAAGTAAAAATGTACCGTTAGATTCTATAGATACGCGTTCCATGACGACAGACAACAGGCACCTCTTCGTGTGGTGACAAGTCACAAAATTGTTTGCACATCACACAGTGAATCACAGTACAGACAGTGGCACAGGCACACACGATTCTCATTAAGCCTACGTACATTTTCATTGTCCCTTTAGGTCCTAAATTTGTCCTCAACACATCCTGGAGTCCTTTCGCTGCGCTTATGTTGACTGCAAGAGCTTGGGCAGCTCTCGCTACTTCAGCTTTAGGGTTTAGTGATTTTATAGCCGACATTTTCACACGCACATGGATAACTGTCAATGGCGACGCCGGAACGCGAATAACAGGAAGTAGAAACTACTTGTAATCGACTTAATAATTGCTGACTGCTGAACATTATATTCGCAGTTGACATTCGATGTGGAGATCAGGGTGGGTTTATCATCAGATCTATTGTAAACTTTCTCTCTGTCGAGATCTAGGCTAGGCTAGGCTATATTATATATAGGCCCTATGCACGAAATGCTCAAAGAGGCGGTTTTAGGCCGAAAATACTGTCACGCACAACTGAAGTGCGCCACGAAATGTACAACGAGCTGCTCGTTCGGAAGTGGTGATCCCATAGGCCCTAATAGGTCCGCGCGACTCAGTCCGACTGTGTTTTAAAAAATGACTCCGTAACATGGAAGCGAAACCATTAAATTGGGGGGGGGGGGTATTAATCCGCAGACATGAAAAAGAGGCTAAAACAGCTCCTGGACATGGGTGGCTGGTGCCTCCGTAAATAAAACATTCATGGTCAGGTCAGGACCCCCCTCTGTTTTTATCTCCACGGCGTCGCGGAACACTCCGATAAGTATAACACTCTCGCGGCCTGTCCGCGCGCGAAAAAGAAGTGCTATACGCACGCACGTCTTTTTGCTGTACTGTGTTGTGACGTCGAGAATTCTGACGTGGTTGTGGGCTCAGTACATATTACATAAGATTCTGATTAGGCCCTTTTTGCGTTGAGAGGCTTGCATCAAAAGTACAAGTTTGGTGGGGGGTTTCATAGTCAGGTTGTGAAAAAAAGCTCTTTCAATGCACTTACAAATTAATAATGGATCGGCTATTCTTATGATCCGGGGGTTTTTTATGTGCACGGGTCAAACGCTTTGTCGTCGCACGCTAAGACTTCAGTTCGATTTCCGTATGGGGATATTTTTATTTTTTTTACTGAGAACCTCTGTCTTTCTTCTGGGGCGTTATAAATGTTCCCTCTCAGTCCAGGTTGGCCCTGACATTGGGTTGAAATAGGCCTATCCCGTCTTCTAAATGTTTTATATTGTGTCATAGTGAGTGTAAAACATCTACAAACTAGACTACATAAATACGATACAAAAGCCAATCACAACGACCCACGGAGCTTTCCATTCTAAGATCATCAAAGTCTACTTATTACTACTATACTGTACACGTGCTTCCAATCACTACATCCACTCGCTCAGCTGATCAAGGGTGGGAAGTTCAAAATAGCGTCGGCTCTCTAATAAGTCTTGCACCAAAACAAGCACAGCTTCTCCCTTCCTCCACGGTTTAGAGTTCACACTGCGAGTGGTCTTGCTGCTCATTGCTGGCAAAGCAAGCCATGAGATGCAAAGCAAGACATGAGAGGCAAAGCAAGTCATGGGGCACGGACGGCTTGTGGGCTTCAAGCAAGTCATGGGGCACAAAGCAAGTCATGGGATCCAAAGCAAGACATGGGATGCAAAGCAGGTCATTGAGCACGATCGACTTGCTGTGCTGTGAGCTGGATTTGAGACTTACCTGCCGCGCTGTGAGGGGGCCTATCTCTCTCCTTTTCTGACGTAGGTGGCTTCGCGGATTGCAAGCAGGGTGTGAGGAAGATGAGGGGGTCCGACACGAGTGGCTTCGCGGATTGTTACTACAATATTCTACATGTAGTAGTGTAGTCGACTGACTTGAAGCTTTAGACTAGACTCAAGTGTAACATGCTGGTAATTTTATTTGAAGATTTGACCTAGCGATTTGAGGTTTGTAACTTGAACTAGGGCATTGCGAGCACGAGCAGGTTTGCTACCGGGGTGCTCTAGTTTCTGAATATCAGGTACACTCAGTGGCGGTGGGTAGTGAAGGCCTCGTGGGCTTGAGCCCCCACCCCATTCCCCAACTCTATCCCAAAGCAAATGAAAATAATGAAATAAGCAGTTGAAACTGTTAAATGATCTTACTACAATGAACACAGAGTTATCAACTCGGCGGCTTGTTGTTTGTCCAATCATTGTTGTCACCGCTTAGGCCTACAACTATAGTAAACTAACAGCCAATCAAATGCCTTTAGGGCTCAGCAATATAGACGAGCCCGTTCCCACGGACCCTCCTTACTGAAACCCCTTCTGTAAAAAAGTAGAAGACTTTAAAAAAAATAACACGGCACAGAGGGCTTAATAATGTTCTCCTAGCCCTGACAATGGGGTGAAAGTTTACAACACACTTTCCCCCATAGTGACATGTTACCTATGCACCCACTGGACTTTTGTTAGGTGCGGTCTACACGACTCAATCCACCTCATAGACGATATACGTTTGGAGTGCTGTGTGTGTATGTATGTGTGGGTGCCGCTGAGATTTAACAGTTATTAATTACATCAAACCACTTTTGAGGCAACCTTTTTCATGACAAGAAAATTAATATAATAAGAAAAATTTGGAAGTCAAACGGCTTCGCCCCCACCATCCAGAAGAATTTAACAAAGAACAAAGAGGTGGAAGACAAAGGTACTGACTCTTCTTGTTTGAATGGTTTCCAAAATGCCGTGGCTCGCCCTGAGTATAAAAAAATCATCACTGTTTTGTAGAAGAAACCTAAGTCCCACCCAAATTTTGGTCCACCCACCGCAACTGGTTACACTATACTGTTAATTTTCCAATTGAAAGTGACATTTTCAAGATGAAAAAATGAAAGTACAGTGTCAAAGACGACAAAGAACCCATAACCTTAACCAAAGATTCTACATAAAAATGTAGAATCTTTGCCATAACAATCAAAGATAACCCAAGGACCTTTCAACAAACTGTATAACCTCCTCGAGCTAATCCAATCTCTTGTACTCGATTACAGAATCGGAAATTTCTGGCCGAAGATACTAGAACAAATTCTAGAGAATCTCAAAACAATGACTAATATGTCGACAGCAGCACAGACACAAAAGAAACTGAATACAAATTAAAATTCCTTTTCCCTCAGTTCATCAGTAGTTTGATGGATATTTTCTTGGGGTATTTTTGAGGATTATATTGTCGTTGTTTTTAAAAAAATATTATTTTAATAGTTTATTAATATCTTCCGCTGCTCGTTTTTAATATTATTTCAACCAAAACAAAACGTCTGTCTGACAGAATGTTACGGATCAAACAAAGTTTCTACAATCACAACAACAGCGGGGACGCGGAGTGGTGACTGTGGGTTAGTAACGTGTGCGAGTCTTTATACTTTGACAACCATGTGGAAGCTACTTAGTTGATCGCCAGCAAAAGTTTCTATTAGAAAAGTGGGACACCAGTGTTTTTTTTAAAGTTGATGTTGCTCAAGATATAGATCTAGATTCTATATATCTAGATCTAGATTAGATCTAGATCCTAGTTGTCTGTGGTAGGCTAACGCTCCGAGCTTGAAAGTGAAAGCTCGAACTGGCCGCCAGTCAAAAGTTTGACAAACAGTATACAGCGCGCTCTCTCTTTTGATCTAGATCTAGAGATCTAATCTGTCTAAATTTTTTCTAAAGCAGGGGCTTTTTCGGTAGTTCCCAAGAGCTTATTTGGACCTAGATTTAGATCTAAGTCTAGATCTGCCTACAGGCTATGTTTGATGCGCGGCAAGTGAGAGAATATCAAAAGTCGAAACTAGCTGCAAAACTTATGTTATGGTAAAATGCCCCCCCCCCCCCCTATCCGATATTTTTATTAAATTATTTCTAGATCTAGATCTAGTTGCCCCCCTGAAATCCCCCTAGTAAGCCTAGATCTAGATACTACTCTTGGGGCCAAAACCAGTGAATAATAATTGGGGGGGGGGGGGGGGGGGGAGCTACCGAAAAAGCCGCAACGTCTGATCTTTGTGTGAATTCTATTGATCTTCCATTCCAACTTTCAACTCTTATCAGGAGTCTAAGTCTTGATAATTTTATCAAGTGTACAAGTTGATGAAAGCAAGCAAGCATGGACATCAATAAGAAAAACTTTAAAAAGAGACAACCCTGTCGAGGCCGAAGTAATCCAACACAAAAACAAAAAGGTAGGTGGACAATTCATCCGCCTTAATGGTGGATTTCTAGTCTACTGTTAGACAAGAAAGCTAGCTTTGAAGATAAGATAAAGTTAACAGTTAAAACAGGTTAGTAGTCACAGAAAGACACAATGTCTTAGCAATGTTGTAAGTATTTAGTCCTACCTAAAACTAACTGCCAGCCCTATTCGGACTCTAGTCCCTATGAATAATGATTATGGTAGCGTTAATTGTGACAGAGTGAGTCTGTGACCAAAAAAAAGAATTTAAAAAACAAAACAAAAACAAACACGTGTACACACGTCACTCACACATCCACACACAGAAATACACATACACACAAATACGAAACACACGCGCACACACACTCAAACACACCCACAATACACTCACACACACAGACTCACAAACTCAATCTGCACATGCTTACATTGTGGCCTTATACACACACACTCACCACACACACATATATATACACACACACGCACATACACACAAACTTTACACTAAACCAACAGACAAACAAGACAAACAACAAAGACAGTCACAGCTCTTTTCTTGTTGCTGTTATTGCGCCTAGTGGCTTTTGTTGCTGTTGTATGCTGCTGATGTTTTGTTGTAATTTTGTTGCCTCGACTGTACTGTAGGCCTACAGAAAGTCTTTGTGGATTTTTGCCATACTCTTTAGGGGGTTCTTATGCGATTTAAAGTAAATTGGGATTTTTTCAATAGATCTTGGCAAACAATAGATTTTTACAAATTTGTGTGATGAATTTTTCCTAACGTACTAGAACATTTTTTAGTAATTTTTTTTTAGGTGGTATTCACATTTGCAAAAAATCCGTGAAAATCCAACTCCAAACACTATGATGAACAAAAAACTATCCCACATGTAAAAAATTCATCACACAAATTTTTAGTATTAGATCTACATCTTTTTTTCATTTTGTGAAAATTTCATGAAGATTGGATGAAAAATGGTGAGAGTTATTAAAACAAGACACACATATGTAGAAAAACCGCGTTTGTAGAAATCGGGCGCATAAGAAAAATAAAAGATTGACTTAATAAGGAAATAGTGGTGGCAAACATGCCTGGTATAGGAAGAAATAATGCTTTAGGGGGTTCTTATGTGATAAAATAGTTGCAAGAGAGGCTGAAGAAGCTAGAAATGCTGTACAACTTAAAATCCATAATTCTGAGCTGAATCGGGACTTTTGGGATGTAGT